CAGATGTACTAGGAAAACGAAACACCGGAACTTAGGATATCCATTTGCATAAGTACTTAAAATTATATAGCACAGAACAACTAGATTCATCATTATCATTGTGTGAATAAAATTCTTGACATTTAGCCATGTTTTTAATTGTTTCTTCTTTTTTCACTATATATATATTCTTGTGATATTGATAACATCTTGGAACCCACTTGCTTACTAATGACAGAAACTTTGTAAAAATAATGAACGAATGAATCCCCTCAAACGAACTGAATGGAAATAAATAATCTCAGTCACTTCCATTAGGTTTGTGATTGAATCATTTGTACAGTCATAATTTCAATCAACTCTAAATTGAATTAATTTTTCAGTTATTTTTTATACTACTTATCAGTAATCTGAATAAATCGCTTAAAATCTGTTTTGATATACCACGTCATTCAAGATACTAACGGATTCGAACAACGTATGTAAGGAATTAGAAAATAAGTAGAAATGGACTTTACCAAAAACACTGAAAGTGTTTTCAAGGACAACACCAAAAATAATTTTTTGTTATGAGAAAAAATGAACTGAGAAAGTAGTAGATCACCTGGGTTGTTATAATATGCATTCAAGTTTCTTCCTAACAAATTAAAAACTACTTGACCTTAAACTATGAATAAATGGTTAATTGTCTCTAAAAAGTACTTAATTGAACAGCCAAAAGAAATTCTATGAACTACAGATGTGTGGTTAGCTCAGAAAACTCAAGACATTGCGAAGAAATATTAATCTTTTTCAAATATACTCAATCGTACGTAAACAATGAATGTTAAATAACTGATATACGACAAAATAGTTCCCGGCAAGAAAGTAAATCCGCTTTGCTTTAGATTCATAATGCTTGTAAGAGAGACCAAAAAACAACGAAATTAATTTTGATATTATGATGAGAATTCAAAACAGAAATTCAGGATGCAATATTCAATAAGTTTAATACGTTCCGAATAATTTGCTCAAACATACTTGTCAGGACATTTTATGTGAAAACTAAATATTTATCGGACAGAATTAAAAGAGAATTGTGCACAAATTAGTAATCTTAAATACGATAGAGAGAAGGAAATGACATAATATGGAAGCAAAATGGAACTAAAGAAAACAATAGTACGCTGTCAAAGCATATTCTTGGGTCAGTGGAACTCATGGCCAGTAGAAGTTTCAAGCTTTTCTCCTGACTACTCAAACAATTCGTACCAGTTTTAAATCTTGATTAATAATTTTTAACCATTTTTTAATCCTTATGACTGTTTAACAACTCAAATGATTAATTATCTCCCACATTTTTCGAAACGTTAGTTTTATTCTTATAACCTTATAACTATTATGCAAGTTTACTCGTTTTCTTATTTTCGATTAACGTTTGGTATCTTCGTTAATGACTTAACAAGCATGTATAATATAACAGGAAATATGATTTAACAACTCTAGTAAATGATGTTGTCGTAATGCAAATTTTCTTCTCTTGGTCGTCTTTATTTTGTTTGACATCTTATTCTCTTCATCCCATATCACTCTGTCTCTTAGATTTCTAATTACTATTTCATGTTCAACTTTTCTTTCATTTTGTATGATTAGTCTTCGTCATTTTCTATATAAAATGCCTTGACAAGTAAGTATGACCAAACGGTTTGAAACGTAGTGAACACAACGTTACATCTTTATTACAAACAAAATCTAGATTTATGGAACGAACTAAAAAAATAGTTCAGGAGAGTATTTATAAGAAATTATGAACGTGACTAATTGTTTGAAAACTCATTTCATTTTACTTATTTCAGTCTTATCAACTCAATCATTAACATCTTTCAATGCATGTAAAAAGGGATATTAAATGACCTATACGTTTCACGTGTTGACACAGAATCGATACTGGGTCCTAACTAGGCTTTTCAATTAATCATTGACTAGAACAAAAGAAATCTATGACGCTTCTCAGAGATTTTTATTACAAGTCTCGCTCATGTATGCAAAAAGAGAGTTTGTGGCTTATATTTTTGGTGGTTGAACATAAGTCTAGGACTCTCGTAAATATGATATTCTCTTGAAAATCTCCTTCATTCACCCCGTATACATAATTAGTCCGCATATTCTTACCATTACTTCAGGAAACTTGTATGGTCTAACGAAGAAACAACGAATTCCAATAAAATGATGCATTCCCTTGTTACATTCATAATGATCTGAACTAATATCTTTTGGGAAGCGAAAAAAGAATTTTACAGCTAATTTTGAAATCATGTTATGTAAGGCTTCCAATCATATGGTATAATAGATTAAATTCTCTGATCTTGTCCCAAGTACATTTTAACAATCAAACCAACTTAAAATGCACAAATTTATATGTCAGTTACAACTAATAGTAAGTATAGAATTCTTTTGAAATTATGCTAAAACGTACCCATAAAATATTGAATTTTAGAACTTATTACTTAGATTATTTAGATTGTTTATTGTTTTCTTATTAATTCATTATTGAGGAAATCTAAATAAATTTAATTATTCAATAATGAATGCCATCATATAAGTAATATATTCACATTTACAGTCATATACTGGTCATCAACTATCAGCTTATTAATAAAATATTACTTTTAAAAACAATACATTACTATATTTAACCTGAAATTTAAGGACATTCATCTTTTTGATACTATCTCTTGTGCTTATTTGTGTGTGTTCAGAGTTTGTAACGGGTCCAAATGAGATTGAAAGCAGAATAAACCAAATACAACTGTATGGTAGTTTGTAGATTTATCATTTATTCTATAATTTGCTTAAACTAGTCAATCAATATGAAAAGACGCGAATTTCAAGCAAAAAGCTTAACTATATTCATAATAATGTTTAGTTGAACTATATATTATTGTGACTGTAGTGGTTGGTCCTATGTCGAGCCCATATATAGCTTATTCTAGCTTCCAGACAAGCCAGTTTATCTATTCCTATCAAGCTACATTTTGTCCATGTTAATTATCAACCTTGACTTGTTTTTATATGAGAGTATTTGTGTGCACTTCTTATCTTATTCATCACATGTCTGTAACCTATTTTTATCTGGTTATAAATATTGATTAACGCTTGATAAAAGGGAGTTGGCTTACTGCGCATCCTTTCATTTCGTCTCGCTATTTCTTCGCCTCATTCTCTGCGATTCTCTGATTGTCTATTCCGACCAACGAGGGTACAAAATATACGCATTCAAACATACATTCTCGTATTTGACTTATTTAATTCCGTTACATACTAAAGCTGATTAAGTTGATAATAATATTTGAGAATAATCAGGATGTATATTTCAATAGCAATCACTCATACAATTTAATTGGAGTTTAAATCCCAGGCCACAAAAACACTAAAAGGTACTGATATGAGAGTATCCATTGTCCTATGATTTATCAATGACTTACTTATAAATAGGATATCGAAACATTTTATAACCTATTCATTTCAATAAATTAAGTCAATACTATTGTAATTTCGATTTACATTTTATTCTCTAGTATTCTCTGAATCTTGACACAGAATTAGTACCATGTCAGAGTAATAACTTCCTAATATCTTTATTATTATTATTACAAAATATGATAATTCATAGAAAAATTTATTCATTCCAATCTCATAAAAGAAAGATCGTTTTGAAGTATATTCGAGACCATTAGAGAATGCTTCAATAACGCATCAATAACTTTATTAATCATAATAGTATGTTACTGTGCATTTAATAGCATATTTTAAATTCTATCAATAAAATAAATAATAGTGCAGTTGTTATAGTTCATAAAGTTAATTACATTATATTAGGTTTCTTCAAAGTATTCAAGGTTGAATCACAAATGAAAGTAATTTTTGCATCAAACGAATGACAAGCGAATAAAATGGAAAAGTCAGTTTCTAATACTACTGCTACAACTACCTATACCGACAGATATAAGTAGTATGTAGCACCAATCTGAAGTGGAATGCCTGACAATGAAAGATTGCAATGAAGAGAACACGATAGAAGTCGTAGAGTAGTCAAAATAACAACAGAAATAGAGGAATAATGAAGTATGTCAAAAACAATGCAAAGAACATGTGCGAATAATGTATTTACCGTATAATTTTCATATTTTACTAAGGCCCTGTGTGATTTTGCGATAAACAATAAATTAGTTGTCTTTACCAAATCTTCGTTCACTACACTGTAAGCTACTTTTACGAAATCTATAAAAAATTATTAGATACTGAACTATATTTATCTAGTCCCAAACAATTTAGCAGTATGAATCCACTTCCTGACTTGTTTCAAAAAGACTCCCTATATTTCTAAATGAAAATTATAGATATGAGGAGACATACTCAGTAATAACATTAGAGTATAATGTATCCTTGATATATAGATTTAGTGAAATTAGGGAAATAATTATCATTGGACTTTGTTCAGTTTGTTAGATAATAAAGAATTAAATGATTTGAGATTGGGTTCAAACACTTTTGCAGCAATGTATATTCTGATGAGATAAACATTTAGTCATTTAGATTTTTCCAACTAACATCGACCCCCATCCCTTTGTTACTCAAAAAATCAATAATATGGTTAAACTAATTAAATAGTGGGATATAATTTTATTAATAAATAGCTATGAAAATAACAACACTAGTTTAGTAATTAAAGAGAAAACACATTGGATAAACTTTGATACCAATAAAGTTCAAGATCATAAGACAATCATATGCTGTTTATGTTGTAAATAAATATCTTAGCAAGAGTCATTCTTTCATAGAAAAAAGAAGATACTCTTTCAACCGAGGGAGAAATTTGTATCTTCTAGACTAAAAATAAACAGAAATACGTTTATTAAACTTTGATGGTGTTACCTAACTAAAGAGTTTTGTGTTTTTTTTTAAAACTCAACACATACACACAAACAAAAATGGGTAGTATATCAAAGTAGTTTCATATCATTCATTACAATACAATGAGTTTAATACTTTCTGTTATTATTTTCCCTATTATCTTCATGACTGATACGAACTAAATGTGTGGTTCTTGGAGATTTAGAACGATTCTCTGGATTATAACAATTGATTTTTAAAACTAAATCATCTCCATCCACTTTGAAACTTTTTGAATTAGCACCGTCGTAAGCATAACCATTTTCATCATCATCATTGTAGTGGACAATACGATTCGGTGTATGAGGTGTTCCTGCTGAGGCTGAATTTGCATATTTAGGGACAATCGGTGAATGTGAAGCATAACCAGGAGATCTGTAGTTATTTTGACTTTCATATCTTGGAGTGTATTCATCACGTTGATAATATCTATTATCATATGAATAGGCTAGTTGTGGTTGAGATTTGGAAAGCGGTCTTGTATATGACAAAGGCCCATCGAATTGACTTCCTTTATCTTCATGTCCCGAATAACGAGATGCAAAATTTGGTTTAGAACGATAAACTTCTGGTGTTGTACACTGCAATGGAGTTGGACTTAAAGACCTGTTCCTAAACTTCATATTTGAAGAGTCGTTTTGATGACTAGCCGGATAAATAGTTGGTGAATATCCAAAGGCCTCACAGTCAGCATCATTAAAATTGAATACTCTTGGTGAACTACTATTAGCAGAATGAGGAAAATCTTCAAACGAAAGTGGTTTCAGAGGTGATTTGATGGCAGTCTTTCTAGAAAATCTACCAGATAACCTCTTTTTTTGTGGTGTTGTAACAACAGGAGTAACATTTACTTCTTTTGAGTTTAAAGTTTGATCTACATATGATGTTGATGATTTTTGTGCACTAGCTTGACTTAAATAATATGTAGCTTGTTGTTGTTGAATAGCTCTTTGTTGAGTCATTATTTGTTGATATTGTTGAGCATTCTTACTTATCGCTGCTAACAATTCATTTCTCTCTTTCCTATTGACAGCTGAAAATACATGAATTAAACGTTTACCAGGATTCGATGACTTAATATCCAAAGCAAATTTTCTCTCATCTGATCTTGACTCAATTATATCATGTAATTGTTCATAATTAATACATAATTCTGATGTACCAGGCCACCATAATGGTTTATCTAAGAACATTTCTTTCGTTGTTAACATTAATAATAAACTTCTGTCTATATTGACAAATTTCACTATTCCATGTTTAACTGATACAGGTGCATCTAAATGTTGTGAAGTAAATGTTTGATTAGCATCAATTTCTACGCAATATTCAATAAAAACTTTAAAACTGGAATATTTTATTTGTGATTGATTCATATCTACCAATGTTGGTGTTGTGTCTATTGATGTCGGTGATTTTGTTGCCGAAGCAGGTGAAGTAGCAGGTGTTGGTGTTGTTTTCTTTTTTCTTAATACCATTTTATTATTGTTATTAGTGATTGTTTATGTTAACTTGAAGTAAACACTGTACAAATTGGATTTATCAACAAAATTGAAAGTGAAAGAAAGATAATTAACGAAGTAGTTTTCCTCAAATGATTATAAATAATAATCTTTCATTAATGAATTTCAATTGGATAATAATAATAATAAACAATGATGATAATCATGTACACACTTGTGTGCATTTTCTACTTATTTATAAACTCATTTTCTTGAGGATAAGGTGAAGTATAGTACTAAAGTACTAAACATTCTCACATGATTCTACTTCGTGTTTCATTATATTATTATTATTATTACTATTGCCAAAATGGGTTTGTTCATCTCTTTTAAACAAATAAAATAAATTAATGTGACGAACAGGTCACTATTAGCTAATAAGTGTTGTGTTTCAATGCTTAGTAAGAATATAAATCTAGAAGTTAGAGATAGAATAATCCAAATGTATCGGTTATCAATCTAAACGTTGAATTGAATGAGTTCAGATAGTAGTATTGTAGTGAAAGAGAACACTGGTGGGAATAACCAAATGTGTTTTAATACAACATTATAGAATATATTAATAAAATTTGAGAACCATACAGTAAATACTTCTTTTGCAAAATATCAATCAACTGTCTCAGACTTTGATGTTGCTTCGTTTTTACAACAATCATTTTCTGTTCTCCTTCTCTTCTCTTAGATTTTCCTAACCTTCTGCCACCAGGCATTCAACTTTCAATTAATGATACACACTAATTATATCTGTCCACATCAGTAACACACATCACAGTGTCAGAATAGACTAGCGCAAGTATAATGAAAAAAACTGCTGACGCACATGAATATATTGCAGTAAAAGAATAAACAATTGAATTATTTACAACGCATTTACAGACACCAAAAAATATGTTTCAGCGTGAAGATAGACACTAGTGATAAATACAAGCAATCATACAATCTACTGCCTCAAGTCCCTTCACAGATACTCGTTTACGTATTATCACAGAAAATGATGTGACATTTTTGGATCAGACAATGTAAAGATCATAATGGGATCTATGAAATAGAGAAAATAAGGTTACGAGATGGTAACCAAGTCGTGTTGCTGATTCCTCAGTTTACAGCAAGTTCGATCCACTGTGTTTTGTTCTGGTTGTGATCTTAAATGATCCTTGAGCCTACAAGTGTATATCACTGGTGTTAAGTGTTAAGATGAAAGGAACTTAGATCTTTGGCCACCTGCCGATTGTCTTTGAGAAAGGACAAAGAGAAGTAAATTGTCATCAGTTACTTTCTGACTTTGTTTTTAAGCTTTAAGTGCTCATTTACGCCTTGACAATCAGTAGCATCTTGTCTATGTATATTGTATGTAAACAACAGGTTTAAATCCTCATAAATATTCAGTCAGGTGGTTTGAGATCCATTTTTCTTAAAGATATCATGTTTAAAATCGACAATCCATCCCTTGAGTTAATCGTTAGCTTTACCTCTCCATTTATTTCAGTAACTATGAAAATACTAGTGTTATCACAATAACTTCCAACTAAATAAGAGCTTTATGACTGTACATAAATGGCAAACAGTCACTGACAGTTCAGGGGCAGCAGAAACATTCGTCTCGAAATACTGTCAAATAAAATTGATATTTTTTTCAGTTAGATAGCATTGATATGTCTAGTCGACAATTATAAAATAATCGCTACCATATTGCAGTTTTGTTATAAGTTACTTTCCGGAATGTTTGATTATCCTGTCAAGAATATATCTTAGTAAAGTTAAGGTAATATAACTATCACTACGAACTCATATATATAAAGTTACGATATCTTTTAAACAGCCCACGTTATAGCACTTCTGTAAAACTATTAGCACATATTAGACGGCAATGAATCAACATTACTGACAGATTCCGGTATTCCAACTATTTCTTAATTACAGAATCCTAAACTGTATAATTAATCCCTTCTCCAAGTCTTTGACCTACTTGTTATCATTGAAACACTGATTCAAGCTTTTAACATTCTTATCATAACAAGTAAACCTGTCATCACACTAACAATTTGTATTTCTTCCTTATTATGTTTACTTGTGTAGTGTTTCGCTGTTATCACTGACTCATAAACTAACTTGATTAGTTTAGTATTTTCATGTATGTCTTTATAAATATTAAGCCTGGTGGGGATTTAATTGAAAATAATATTGTTCGCTTACATACATCGTTCCAGTTTAGAAATTTTAGTACGTTATAGTTTGGTATTTTACTCATTTTGCTTACAGTTATTTTGATTCCAGATTCGATAAAATGGGAAATTTCCGTGGTTTAATAATCAAGTGAAAAAGAACAGCTTTTTGGCTTATATTTAGTGCTGTAAATGAAACAACAACGTGTGATGAGAATAAGGTTCCAAGTCGAAACACATAAACTTCACTGTATAGAGCTTCTCACTTGAATTATATACAGCGCTTTATGTTTTACAAAGCTACATTACTTGTTAGTTTAATTTTAGTACATCATTTTCATTGAGTGAATAAAACCTGGTTACATAGTTAAAATAAAGTAGCTTATTAAATTTCAAATCCAAATCACTGATTTAATGAAGGGAAATTTAGAATACTACTTGAAGTAAACATTCCCCAAAACTCCCATATAATTGATTCTACATCCAAAGCAATTAATGAGTTGTAAACTGAACTTAGTAAAAAATATGAAGAAGAGTTCATAGCATAGCATAATGCAAGCAATAAATTACCAAGAGGTTGCTTTTTATATTAAGTGTTGTAATGTGACAAACCATTACACTCAAGTAATTTATATTAGTTCGAAAAAGAAAATAGGAAAAGAGAATTGACTTTGAACCCGATTTATGAAAATCGTTCAGTAACAAATCGCTATCAAAGTAGAATCGCATTCGTAACTCATGATTTCGTTTTAGCTCAAGAACACTGCATAAAACTAATCCAATTAATTAATTATAACGTTTTAACAATGTCGTATTTCCTGGTACTAACTAATAGGTCTTAATTTTACGTCTCACTTGGAAAACTATAAGATAACATAGTGACAGTTATGCTACACTAAATAGCGTAACTGTGGTATTTGAGTGAACTAATTATTTCTTTGTACTTGTTGAATGCTTGATTTCGAATTCCGAATACAGTATATTCGTTCGTGCTTATCTAGTATTTCTTGATTCAATCGCACTATTTATGAGATTCTTAGTTCGTACTATAATTCAAATACTCCTAATTATCACAGTAACTCATGTCAAAAAACATTGTGCAAACATCCAAATAGTTGTTATACGAAAATGTATCATGGAAGCTGCTAATACACTAGTGAGTGATAAATACTCTCTGTTTACTCATTAATAAACCTGTGGTCTCTGTCCACACATTACAACTCATAAATCTTATTTTCTATTTCGTCATCATTTACTCACTTGTGATTAATTTATCCTTCAATCCCTATGAATCATTGAGACACCAATGAATGAAATCACACGTTATGCGATAATTAAGTTTGTTCTTCCTTATCAATGATGTAAATTATTTGAAGATGATACATGTATTATAAACCAAATTTGTTTTGTAACATTTTGTGTACAAGTTGTGAATAATTGTAAATAAGGAATAAGGGTTTCTCTAAACATTATGAAATTTCACAGATTGAAATCATGAGTTAGTTGAAGCTAGACCAACATTGAAAACCTGGAAGCACTGGACGACCGTTTCGTCCTAGTATGGGACTCCTCAGCAGCGTGCATCCACGATCCCGCACCACCCGGGGCTCGAACCCACGACCTACTGGCCTCGCGCGCGAGCACTTAACCACTAGACCACTGAGCCGGCATCCAACGGTGTTAATGTCTAACTTCAACCAATCCACGAAGTTGCGCCACCGTACACCATTGTCTTCAGTGAGTTCCTATCCCGCGTGGTGCGGGATCGTGGATGCGCACTGCTAAGGAGTCCCATACTAGGACGAAACGGCCGTCCAGTGCTTCCAGGTTTTCAATGGTGGTCTAGCTTCAACGGACTCATGATTTCAATCTGTGAAATTTCTAAAAAATCTCCACAAAACCCATTCTGATTATGAAATTTATCAACTCATGAACTTCATACTATTCATGCACAACATTTTCAAGTGTTTGTTTGTTTTTTGATAATCATTATTTTGCAATTCAATAGATCAGATTTTATTACTTTCAAAGGTAAGTAAAAATCATCTCTTTTAACTTATTATTTAAACAGAGTAAACTTTAATGTTATATCTGGAATTAAAAGTCAACATGATATTGTGTAAAGAAACTACTGTGGAGACTGATAAGTCTTGCGGATTGAACGCTATGTTCGTCTCCTAAGCTATTCTGTAATACCCAAGCTAGAACTACACAGCGACCTGAACACGAGAGAGAAGACGTGAAGTATGCGAAAAGTAGTTTACTCCAAGGTTCATTTTAATACATAAAATACAGGGTTTTTATAATATTTTAAATGTCCTTGGGTTGCTAGAAGATTCTGGAATGCTACTAAACATAGTAGCAGTGTAGCAGCCAACCAATCAGAGCCTCTGTATGGGACGTTTCGCTTCCTTGATACTTTTGGCCAAGACCCCAAGTGAACGCTGATTGGACGAAACTCTTCTTGGTGTTTCCTGATGCTTGCTTGTCTTTCGTAAGCAATTTTCTGGATCACCCCAACACAGACAAAATGGGAAACTGTATTATGAAAAAGTGGAGAAGGTTTCCCTTTAGTAAATCAAAATTTTGAGTTTACTACGAATCTATAGTGTTGAAATTCTTGATAAATCATGTTTGGTCCTAATGAATCGAGAAAGTTGCTTGTGTTTGAATTATACAATTAATGAGGAATATTCTCATAAGAGTTTTGTGCAAAACAGTTCATTTTAAAGGTTTGTTGCACCTATAGGAAGTTGGTTATGTGTGTTGAATTAAGAGTCATGTTTACATTTAAGATAAATAAATATTGTTAACACTTGAATTCATTAAGCGTTAGATACAACCGATAGAGATATAATCCGTTTACTAAAACAATAAATTAAGTTCAAATGGTAAGTCAACAGGAATGTAGTAATTGAAAATAAACAACTCTATGTAACAAAGGATTATATCCATTTTCTTACAGCATGAATAATTTGAAGTATGACGATTTGGAAACTG